TTCATCACCCACTCACCCCTCCATGGTCATCAGTCGTTCATCACCCACCCCACCCATGGTCCCTATCACCACCACCATGCCACGTCTCACCCCCCCCATGGTCACCTCCAGAGTTCATCCCCACCCACACCCATGGTCACACTCAGTACCGTTCATCACCCACTCACCTCCATGGTCACACTCCAGTACCGTTCATCACCCACTCACACCCACTGTCTCCAGTACGTTCATCACCACTCACCCACCACCATGGACACCCAGTACGTCTACCCTCCATGGTCACCTCAGAGTTCATCACCCACTCACACTCCATGGTCACACTCCAGTACCGTTCATCACCCAGATCTTCTCTCCTTTATCCTGATGGCACATTACCCTCAGCCGGTACGTGAACAGAAACTCGACTGGACCAAATTCTTCTCACAGGACTGACAGAATTTCCCCTCAAAACCAAGCTTTAAATTTATATAAAAAAAAACAACAGCGACAAAAAAAGATTAAGAGAAGAGGAACACAATATAAAAGAAAAAACAGTCAGGTAAACAAACAAACAAGAACACACACACAGGTAAAACAAACAAGAACAGACAGGGAAATACATAAACAAAAACACATACAGGTAAACGAACATGAACACAGACAGGTAAACAAAACACAGACGGGTAAATACAACACAAGCAAGAACACACATAAACAGGTAAACAAAAAACAATAACACAAACAAATAAATAAACAACACACAGGTAAACAAGAAAACAGAAAGGAAAACACAAAAATAAACACATTAAGATATGCAAATTCGCCAAAAGGACAAAGATTCCATTAAAAAAATCCAATGTTTATATTATCATACATATGGCATCATGTTCCAGACGACAACACGGCCTCCAAGATCACGCCTAAAGTTTCATCTCCAAAAAGAGGAAAGTTCCACCTCAAAAATTATAAAAATTTCTGCCTCAAAAGAGAAATTCCACCTCCAAGACCAAGCCTCAAGTTCCACCTCCAAGACCAGGCTTCAAGTTCCACCTCCAAGACCAAGCCTCAAGTTTCACCTCCAAGAGAATGCCTTAAATCTCCTCCAAGTGACAGTAAAAACTCACCTCCAAAGGCATTATCACCTCCAAGGGAAAGAAAAAACTTACACAATAGGATATAAAGAGACTTTCACCTTCAAGAGAAAGCAAATACTCTTGGGCCTCTAACAGAAAGCGTAGGGATTCACCTCTAAAAGAAGCCGACAACTTTCACCTCCAAGAGTGAAGAGAATTTCCCAAGAAAGTGACGAGACTTTCAACTCCAGGAGAAAATAAAGACTTTCACCACCCGATGCAAATTGAGGTCCTCATCCGAAAATTCTCATATTCAAGAAAAATCAGAACTCTCACCTTACAAAGCGGAGACTCAACGCCAGCAGAAAGTAATCACCTTCAAGAGAAAAACTAAATCTCTTCCACCTCGATATAAGAGTTTAATCCAAGAGAAAGCGAATAAGAAAACAAGAATCTTTCACTTCAAAAGAGCAAAAAAAAAAAATACTTCAAAAAGAAAGCGAAGCAATAACATAAATCTCCATGAAAAAGCAAATACTTTCACCTGGACGAGAGTGAGAAGAGACTTTCAGCCAACTTGTGAAAGCAGATGTGCAAACTTTCCCTCCCCGCGACGCAGAAGAGGAAGCGATATACTATTTGAATCGCATAAGAAGACTGAAGACTGATGCTTGAGTTTTTGTGATGCAAATATTCCCTCTCTGATGAGGAAGGGGAGAGGGGGGAACGGAGGAGGGGGGTGGTGAGGGAGGGAGGATGGGAGGTGGTGAGGGAGGCAGGGAGGTGGTGAGGGAGCAGGAGGTAGTGGGAGGGAGGCAGGGAGGTGGGTGAGGAGACAGGGAGGTGGTGAGGGAGACAGGGAGGTGGTGAGGAGGGAGGATGGGAGGTGGTGAGGGAGGCAGGAGGTGAGGGAGGCAGGGAGGAGTGAGGGAGGCAGGAGGTGGTGAGGGGAGGGAGGGGAGGGAGGGGAAGGGAGGTGGTGAGGGAGGTGGGGAGGTGGGTGAGGGAGGGAGGCTGGAGGGTGGTGAGGGAGGCAAGGAGTGAGTGAGGGAGGCAGGAGGTGGTGAAGGAGGGAGGCAGGAGGTAGGAGGGAGGCAGGGAGGTGGTGAGGGAGGCAGGGGTGGTGTGAAGGGAGGCAAAATTAAGTTAAACTGGACTGGGGGAGCAGGAGGGTGTAGGAAAAAGAAACAGTATTTCCTGGGAACTATTGCACAGTGCAGTACAATAATTATCTGGTGAAATTGAACTCATTCAATTATTTACTGTATAATACTACTCAAACATTTACAGGATAAACATTCAAAACATTAAAAAGTGTTCATGTTGTTTTTCAGTTGTTAGCATGACAAAAAAAAATAAAATAAAATCCGAGAATGATTTTTAATTCTTATTTTTAAAAATATCGTAAATCTGTAGATGTTTATACATTTTCTCTCTCAACACATGAGTGGCACCTTGTCAGCCTCTGTCACTGTGAAATGGATCTCGCTGACTGGGGTAAATAAAATGATAGTACTTGTTTTGTAATTCCTGAGCTATGTTGATATTATTTACTCTACTATTGAGATATTAACATTGATATTTAACAAAGTAACTCATGTTAAGTTTAGGATATTTTCACGTTAAGATATTTGGTACTTTTTTCTCGTTTAATATTCCTACAAACAGACTAGTATAATATTACAATACGTCTAGTTACTGTACTAATCAACTTTTTTTCACAACCGCTTCCCCTAATCAATAGAAACGGATGAAAAAGTACAAATAAAATAGGAAATAAGATAAAATAGAGAAATTGGAGCGAAGGCGATAAAAGTAAATGAGAATCGAGGCGCACTTTCTTCATTAATGACTGCCACGTGTTACAAATTTATCCCGCACCCATTTTCTCTAACAAGACAAAGGATTCATGTCAACGAATAAAGATAAACTTTCAATGACCTATGACTAGATCTGGCAGGGAGGAAACAAACTATCCCACCATTGGTAATATTCTGGTGGTGGAGTCTCGGATGACACAGTACAGTAAACACTCGACAGATGGCGTCATGCTGCTTGGTGCTGCCGTGTTAAACATCGACACACCCACCAGCATAACCTCAACAATATTTTATCTTTTACTGTCCCTCTCCCCTCTCCTCCATCTTCCTTCTCGTTTTTAATTCGATGACGCAACATTTTTTTCTTCAATATTACAAGGTTAAAATTTACTGTACATAGATAAAAGTGGCGTAAATCATTTTTTTTTTTATTTCACGGCCCACTACACATCACAGCTAAATATTCTGGTAGGTGACAGTATATTATCGACACTCCCCGTTTAACCATCTACAAAACGACTTTCACAAAAAAAAATTAATTATAATTTCACAAATACGATAGGTACTATTTATCTAAACTCAAAACGAATATCCTATTGAAATACAGAATGTTGATATATTCTATGAGGTACAAGTTACGTTATTTTGTGATACGAGAAGCTGGTTTGAGCTTACCAGTGAGAGACGTATTGAGACTTGCTGACAATCCTCTTCAGTTAACTGCTGCTGTTCCTCCTATGTTTCGTCCATTGTGGTTGGCAAGCAAAGGGGTAAAGCACTACGACTGGAATTTGCTATGGAGATGCTGTCTTGTCTGTCCTCAATCTTCCGACGTCCGCCATGACAGTCCCATTATTTTATCATGACGTCACTGACGATCCCTACAACAAGAATATATGTTAACATTATCACCTTATTCGTTATTAATGGCATATATTTTTATTATGTATTTCCCTAGGATTTTATATTTTTAGTACTGTATTAAAATTTAGACCAGATTAAATGTAATAAATACCCGGATTAAGTTACAGAATAACATTTGCTCTTCTAATAAGCTTCTAAACCTTCTTGAATCCCCTTTCCAGTGACGGATGCTGCTGATGATGATGGACTGATCATCAATATTTACCTGGTGATGAAGTCGAAGGAATGACTGATTAAATCCAGATGGTGATTCGGAAAACAAGTTAATCTGGTTCCCTGTTGTCATTGTATTGGACAAAAGGTATAGATTATTGAACGACGGCTCTGATTGGTCGAATAGGTATAAACAAAATGTATCATGACCGTATCTAAGCCTTAAAATGTCTAAAGTAAATAAACATATGCTAACAGATACCGACCGAGCTCTATAAAGAACTTGTGTGAGGCCCCAAACTTACTTGAGAATGGGAGAGCGAAATTACACCAAACTTGGGAAATTTGCTCAACAAGTGACAAGGTCCACATGATAAACTTTCGGTGCCCATCACGCCAATATTGAGGTGTTGGCAAGGTGGTGAATATTTTGAGAGGGGTTAAAAGAAAACTTATGAGACTCCATGGGTGACTACGTTAATTTACAATAATAGCGTCACTTACTCGATAGTTATCCAATTGGCAACTTGACGTTTAATAATGATGATGATGATGATGTTGTTTGTTATTAGTATTTAAATTTAAATAAGGGTAAACAATGGTTCTTTGTAGTGTCATGAAATACAGAGAAATTACTATAACGATTAAATTATTTATCTCCACTAGGATCTGATTCATAAGCCTCAAATTAACTCAAAATATAGGTATCAGACGACGTATTTACAAGGACAAGTAAATGAACAAATGAAATAAACGAAACCACAGCATAGATTAACCCCAACACGAATCTCAGCCTTACCAAACACTTGAGGGTACAAAAATTATACACCACTTATCTCTATGCTGTATATCCTGAGTCCAGTCCACTGATCTCAAAAAAGACTGGATCGAGCAAGCCATTGTTCTCGAGTGCGCAAAGTTGCAGCCAACAAAATTTGGGCAGCGCAATATTGGATGGACCCAAAGCTTACAGCTGAATGTAACACAAATATGGCGAAGCTGGGAACTCAGAGCTGTGCTTTCGGGTGCAGCAAGTGAAGAAAATTAGGAAATGAAAGAGAAAACGTTCGAGGTGATAGTGAAGGGAACTGAAGACGAAGAAACGACGACGAAACGTAAATTTCCAAGGACTTTTCATGGGTAAGTTATACTTTTATTGCTGCTACTAGCCTCAGGCCGATCCCTTGATGCCTAATGAAGAGGCAGCACTCGATGTTAGCTTCACGCCACTTTAACGTCGATAACGAATTTATATGAGGATAAAATATTTATCTTCAACATAATTAAGTCTAAGTTGATATTTAGCCTTTCGTTTCTTCCATACTTTTGCATCGATATAATCAGGTAATAGCTAATTTCGTTTCAAGCTAACAAAGCTTATCGAATGCTTTGTATTATCAATTAAATGAATAAATTTCTGACAAGCATAATTTCTCATCAACAGATTTCCATCTAATCCTGAGAAGAGAAAGCAATGGCTTGTTCAAATGCATCGTGAGGACTGGTCACCTACATCACACTCCAAAATATGCTCGGATCATTTTGAAGAGGAAAATATTGACAGGACAGGGCAAATTGTCAGATTAAAGGCTAATACAGTGCCAACAAGATTTAAAAAGTTTCCAAAACATCTTCAAAAGGTATATTTCTATTTTATGGATACTAAGTATGACGAATAAACATGATGAATATGTAATTGTATGCCTGATATTCCTAAATCTTGGCGCATGTTTTTCTAATCCCCAAGCAGGGATAAATATTGTTCCATAAACTTTTGGCTGTCGAAAGATATCCTGGGCACTGTTATTGTGAACAAACATTGGGGAAAAGTTACTATTTTTGTGGAAGAATATTTGTGCAGAATACTTATTTCTAGTTTACAATTTTTTTCAGGCTACAAGTAAACGAAAGAACCCCAAAAAAGAGGCACCATCTGGAAGTTTCATCAAGTGAGCACCAAATTGAAGAGGACAAAGACATGGAAGCTAAGCCAGCAAAGATACAACATAGTAAACATAGTTACTGCTTTGTTGATTCACCAAGAGAGTTAAAACAGAAGCTAAACAAGAGTAATGAGAAAATATGTCAATTGAAGAACTTAAAATACTCACAGCAGAAGTCACATCGTTTAACTCGCCAACGTCGATTATCCCGTTCTCTAGGCCTATCCTAGTCTCAAATCACCTTTTGTGTCTCCTCGAGCAGTTATATGACTGCATCGCCGACAAGAAAAATATTATCCTGGATTTGCGAGCAAAATTTGGCATGATAGCCTCACTGATTCAGCCAAATCCGCGTAAAGCGTGGTCGTGGATAAGGGTCTGTACACAGGAAATGTGCTTCTCATTTGTGTAAAACAAGCAAATAAATACAACTAAACTACATCCAGGACTGATTCTTGTTTAGTTCCACCGCACAGTGCCGTTCTTGGCAGTAAATATATAAGCTGTCATTAGTTATTCAGATATTCTCCAACACAAGGACTACAGTGATCTCCGCAGCTTTGTTTACGTTTTGGGTCCATCCAATATGGCCGCCAAGATTTCAACCTGGCTGCGCTTTCTAAACAATAGAAGCTCGATCCAGTCTTTTTTCGAGATCGGTGGTCCAGACCCACTATACCACACGTGCACCACACTACCTCACATCAGCCAGGCTCGTCGCCGTTTACTGACCGACCCGCGTTTTCACTCTCACTTCCGCCACAACATTCTGATACCAAGTCACCAATTATATACTATTTTATCTCTACCACACACTATTAAAGCTATTTATTTTATATGTGTAGACACATTATACATTAACATACAATACATTAAATATTGATTACATACTGCAACACAAAAATAGAGAATATAGCTCTACGAGTACTTAACGAGCAAACAAGGTAAATACCTATTGAACCAGCTGGGTGACGCCGCATAACAAAAGCTAACTGACGTAACTAATATTAAAATAGCTTCAAGTGAGGTATGTACAGTATGTCTAGTGTACAGAAAGTAGTAATGAAACACGGTAAGACAAGCCCTTTGACTTTTTCACTGGTTCCTTGTCGTTAATGCCTCTCTGCCTGACAACCTGGGAGGATTTGGCAGGAAAAAACAGCGAAATAGCCAAGAGGAAATTTTATTGTTCTTGTTGGTATTGGTGTGCGTTCTTGTTCTTGTGTACAGGTGCGGACATTAATAAAACTACGAATGACACACGAAAGAAAACCTGAATTAGAAATATAAATACACAATTGACAGATGTTACTAGTATGTGTTGCTACGGATAATGAGAATCGACACAAACTGGACTAGGCTAATCGTATTTACTTCCATTGTTTACTTTAGAAAAATACTTACATAGACAAACAAACACTCACTCAAGACACATAAATAACACATTAATCTTTCAAAAACTTAAACCAGCTGAGAAAATATCATTGTCATTGGAGATTCAACATAGGTAAATATTATTATTATTATTAATACGAGGTTCTTTCCCTCCTCCCTCCTCCTCCCTTGGCTGTCGATACCACAACCGCGTGGACGAGAACCTCAGGGGAAACTGACGCTAGTGAGGCAACATATAGACACAGTAGACGGTGGATAATCTGGCTACACTGACAGAGGAGTGAGTTGAACTTTGAATGATATTGCTAATCTCTTTTCTCCTTTTTTCTTATTTTTTTCTGTTTAATTATATTTCCCTCTTTTTTTTCATTTTTCTCAATATTTTTCTCATTTCTGCTTCTCTCTCTCTCTCTCACGGGACATGAACACATCCCCATTGTCTCGAAGCGAATTAAATTAACCTAACCCATGTCGCATTCTCATCTGAATATTGAGATGAATTTACAGGCGAAACTCACAGAGGTGTTTTGTGAGACTGTTGCCTTGAGTGACGAGCATTACGTTCGGGACAAGACCGTGCTGTTCCTCTACCCTAAAATATAACACTTGAGAGTTGCTTTGTAAGGCCAGAGCAATTTCCCTCTCCCCTCTCATTCTCCTCCTCCTCCTACCCTTCTCCCCTCTCGCATTCTTTTTCTCCCCATCTCTCGCATTCTCTTCCTCCCTCTCTCTTTCTCTTACCTCCCCCCACTCATTCTCCTTCCATCCCATCTCTCTCTCCTATTCCCTCCCTCTCTCCTTCTTTCTTACCTCTTTTCCTCTGTCCTCTCTTCCACTCCTTCTCTCCCTCAGAATTTAATATTACATGGTGGAGGAAAAGGGAGTGACGGAAATGAACAGAAGGAGTAATAAAGAGGAGGGAAGGGGGAGGAGCGTGGGAATGGGGGAGAAGGATAATAGAGGAAGTGAGGGAAGGAGAGGGGAGGGGAAGGGGGAGGAGCGTGGGAATGGGGGAGAAGGGTAATAGAGGAAGTGAGGGAAGGAGAGGGAAAGGTGAGTGTGTGCGCTCGTAGGTGTATGTGGTAATAGAACACCTGACTACGTACACACACACACACCTGAGTAGAAGCCCTGTGTTTCTGGGGTAGGCTATACGAGTACACTATGTCTATATATGGAAACGAGTAGGTCTAAGCGATTGTTCTATTTGGATTACAGTGTTGCATGTTTACTACCACTATTTATCATTTATTAATGTGTATTATCATTATCACCTTGTGTATATGTATCTTATCACGTTCTTGTTAGTTTAATCTAGAAAGGAATTAGCAATATATACTGGTAGATACAGGGATTAAGATGGATGTTGATTATGTGACATGTGGCTCAGGTGTGATATATATAATTTGGGCTTTCAACTGATGACTGGGCATAAAGTCATCCAGCATAAGCAGAGGCGGTCAGACGTCAAGTGTCAAACGTGGTGTTACGTCCAGCCCCTGAGTTAACTTATGACTCTAACGGTAAGACAGATCTTTGTATTTGTTTATGGGAACACCGTGAGGTAGGGAAGGTGGGAATGATGAGAAAGTAAGAGTGAGGGAGGTGAGGTAAGAGTGAGGGAGGTGAGGTAAGAGTGAGGGGAGGTGGAAGAGGGAGGGAGGTGAGAGTGGGGAGGGAGGGGAGGTGAGAGGAGAGTGAGGGAGGAGGTAAGAGTGAGGGAGGTGAGGTAAGAGTGAGGGAGGTGAGGTGGAGAGGAGGGGAGGTGAGGTGAGAGTGAGGGAGGTGAGGTGAGAGTGAGGGAGGGAAGCTGGTGTTTGTGACAACAATAATTTAAATGATTAATTCTTCACACATTAAGTGGAAGGACAAATTCCACCTCCTCTCCTTCCTCGCTCTCTCGTTCTCCTCCTCTCCCTCTTTCTTCTCCATCCCTCCTCCTCCCTCCTCTCCACCAAGCTCACATCTCTCACTTCATGAATAGGAAGTTTATGTGTGTGTGTGTGTGTGTGTGTGTGCGTATGTGAGTGTATGTGAAAATTGAGCTCTATATGTATGTATGTATATAGGTGTGTATTTAGGCTTGTATCTCTATATGTGAGTGACTGCTTTTGTTCCCGTGTGTGTAGTTGCATCCGTGTAGACATATGTAGTTATGTATGTGAGTAATAGTAGTAGTAGTAGTAGTAGTAGTAGTAGTAGTAGTAGTAGTAATAGTAGTAGTAATAGTAATAGTAGTAGTAATAGTAGTAGTAGTAGTATGTATGTGTGTGTGTGTGTGTGTAAGAGCATCACAAAAGTGGCATCCAAACTCAAGTGGCGGGATCGAACACCACTTTCATCCGTGCCTGAACCCTTTCTTCCTCTCCTTATGATCTTCCTTTGTCACGCCTACACAACAATGGCCTCTTTCCACGGCCAATTCTCTACGCAAATTCAACCCTTTGTTCCTCTACTTCTTCTCCTCTTACTTCAAACTTCTTCTTCTTCTTCAGTCTTAATTTCTTCTTACTTCAGTCTTGTTCTTAGGTTAGGTTAAAATAGTTTAGCGTTAAGGTGGTTTAATCTTCAGGTAAAATAAACTATAGGTGTCTAATGTTCAGGTAACACAATAAACAAAAGATAAACACAGAAGGTAATAAAACACGAACATGGGAGAGAGAGAGAGAGAGAGAGAGAGCTATGAATATCACACCAGTTCTACTAGAGACCAAAAACACCATAACAACCTCAGACCTCGATCACTATTCTCGTATACCGATATATTCAACTGAGCCGAGAGGGTGACTGTCATCCAATACCACAACGATATTATGTGAATTAGAGGAAATGTTTAATGATTTTGTGTTGTTAATTGACGTGTGTGTTTTAGGCAAAGCGCTGTCCAAGTCATTCCGTGTCCATGTTGCAGAAAGGGAATTTTGTGTTGGAATAGTTTGTTTATTTACCTACCTACCCCCCCTTCCCCTCCCCCTCCTCCTCCTCCTCCATCCTCCCTCCTCTCCTTCCTCCTCAATTCTTGGTGGTCTGAATTGGTCTGTGCGTATGTTATTAACTTGACTATTTCTCTACTCTCCTTTTCTTTTCGTTCAATTCCTTCTTTCCTTATAATATTTTCACCTTTATTCTCCTTTTTTGTCTTTTTTTCCTTCAATTCCTTATTTTCCCTCTTCTTCTTTTTATTCCTTCTCGCCATTTCTATCATTCTCATTATCCTACTTCCTCTCCCTTTTATCCTTTTCAATTCATTTTCTCTTCCCTTTACCTTCCGGTTTTTTTATCACTCTCTCTCTCTCCCTCTCCTCCTCATTTTCCATTCTCCCATCTCCCTATTCATTATCATCCCTTTCTCTCCCATACCCCCTCTTCAGAGGCTAGGAAATTTCAACTAGATATTCTTTATACTTTCTTCCATCTGCCTCCCTCCCTCCTTCTCTCTCCATCCTCTCTTTATCTCCCTTCTCTCGCTTCCTTTCCTCTGTTACTCCTCCTCCTCGTTCTCCTCCCCTGACATACCTAGCCAGGCCCTCATCAAGCTTCATCCAGACACGATAATTGACACGTATTCCTTGCATGATTTAGACGACCCGGTGTCCTATCCCGTGCTCCTTATCTCCCTCCCCTTCCTTTAACACTACACATCCCGACCTCCTCCATCCCCATTCCTTCTCATCAGCCCCCTTCCTTCCTTTCCCCTCCCTCCCTTTATCACTACACATCCCGACCCTCTCCTTGTCCTTCCCCTCCTCCTCCATCTTTTTTTTTATATACCCCAGGTGATTTTCACTTCCATTTACAAGTTCTTCTCGGCATTACGAACGTGTTGGGTGAACGA